AGTCCGATCATTGCTCCCCGCGCCTTCATTGGTTTACATTTAATAATTCATATCTCAATAACTATTGCGAATTTTGCAAAATAGTATATAACTTTTTTGTTCAGAATGACCCGATCTACCTACACACGTCGGCTTTATAGTTCGTTGTCAGACACCCTGTATATGTAAAAGAAAAAGGAATATAATCAAATTCAGTTGTATCGTTATACAAAATAATTCATTAATCAAATATATTGAAAATAAAAGATAATGATTACAACAAACAACTCTAAAGAAACTATTCATATAGTAAATATTGTATAGACAAGAAGTATTAGTTTAAATTTCTTTCTTTTAACTATTTCATATTAAATACTATCGAATATTAAGGATGCGAAATAAACACAAACCCCATAATATGTAATTAATTTTTTTGCATTTATTAAAACTTATAACCCAACAAAAAATTTATCTCGAAGCACTTTTGCAACAAACACTGCGCTTTCTAACATCAAGAAAACCAAATTAAATAACAATGTAAATAACANTGCAAGTATATACAGAATAAATATAAAAACATAAGAAAATATATAAAATTAACAAATATATTAAATATATAACAATTCATAAATATATAAGCGTATCGCCATATTCACGCAAGTGATATTCAGATAAACAGTCTTAAATCTCTTGACTAGTTGAACACACTTGTCAATTAATAAATTTTGGATACGCATCTTGCTGCATCGCTTTTGTTCTTAAACAAATGTTGGTAATAAAGAAAAATAATACGTTAGTTTACAAAATGCAGTCTCATTTTATGACACGCAGCAACAATCATATATTTATATACTCTGTATTTCAATACTAAACTTGTATAAGAAATATATATTAATTTTTTTCCCTGTTATTTTTTATTTTTTCAATACGTGATTAACAAATAGTAGACGTAACAATGATCGCTTCTACGTTGTCTTTGATAAGAACCAGTTTGATATTTTTTTCTTTGTTTATCGGAATTAAAGACGATTTGTCGCATAGTCCTGAACCATTTTTTTTTATTACATATAATAAAGGAGTAATTATTGAATAAATTAAGCAAATATTGAATAAATTAAGCGCCGACCTTTAGCTGAACGCACGTCAGTGAACCACACGTCTGGTGTGCGTGAGCGCTCCGCGCGGCTTACTGACGTGAGCACGACTAAAATATCAGTGGATTTCTTTACAGCAATAGTAGGTCCACGTGCCAAATGCACAATAGGATTCACTGACTTCACAGCCGCAGCATAGGAGTAGGTAGATAAGGTACCTTCCTCAGCCATAAATCCAGCAGATTTATGCTTTAGTGTATCTACTCTTACTTGGGAGATTGCTTCAGAAATTATTTCTTTGACTGACTCGATAGCAATAGACGGAGCATTGTTTTCCTTGTCTAAAAGTGCAAGATATGCGGATGCTAATTCAGAAAAAGCCTCCTTACAGATTCTGAAAGCGGACTCGATATACGTTCTTCTGTCCAATGAATCCTTACCAGACAAGAGCAGCTTAGAAACGGTTTTGTTATGCTTATTTATAGAGCGCTTTAAAGCATTAACTCTAGACACATTCATTATTATTCCAGTGGACATACCGACATTAGCTAATAAAGCAGACGAAGATCGCTGTCTCGGCAGGCCTCCAGAGCTGTTGTTTACGCTGTTTATATGTAAACCGTTATTCTGAGATGTTGATGCAGAGGGAGGAGGCGTCACGTGCTCACAATCAGACATACCGTCAGCCGCGAAGAAACGCCCCGCAGCAGCCAGATAAGCAAAGAATGGGAGGGCCGAATCAACCGTCGACGCAACGATCCAGTGACTTGCAGTTTTATCAGAAAACTGAAAAAGCTCCAAAAAATAGCATCCAAATGATCTCAAGAGTTGACAAAAATGGACAACAGACAAGCAAAGGCCTTAGTCTTGACACTCCGAAAAAATCAGCGCCCCGAAGGGCAGAAAAACAGCAGTATCAAGATCACAAGAGAGAACTCGAAAACGTCCGCAATTATACTTACCACAAACGAAGAGAGGAGTGAGTAAGAATGAGAAAGAGTGAGAAAGAGTGAGAGAGGAATGAAAGAGAGTGAGAGAGAATAAGAGAAAGTGAGAAAGAGAGGAGTGAGTAAAAATGAGAAAGAGTGAGAAAGAGTGCGAGAGGAATGAAAGAGAGTGAGAGAAAGTAAGAGAGAGTGAGAGAGAGAAAAAGAGAGAGAGAGAGAGAGAAAGTGATTGTGATTAATTGATTGATTGATTTGATTGATTGATTGATTGATTGATTGATTGATTGATTGATCGATTGATCGATTGATTGATCGCTTGATCGATTGATCGATTGATCGATCAATCTTTATTTTGCTGTCTCAGCTATTTTAAATACAGTTTTAGCAAACATTTGCTATAACATATGTTTTTAACATTCTTTTAAATGATTCGAGTTTTTCTTCACTTTTTATTTCCGCTGGTAAGGCGTTGTACATTTTTATCCCTTCATAGAACATACTTTTTTGTGCGCTTTTTGTTTTTTTGAATTTTATTTTAATGTCTCCAATTTGCCTCGTTTCTCTTTCACTTTCTATTATTTTT